AACTAGTAAAATAATAGCCCAATAAATTTAACATATGGTAGCCCAAAAAAACCTTAACCAATAGAAAAGCTCAATTTTAATCCCCTCCCATAATCTAATAAATAAGAGCATTTTTGCCATGTGGCAATAGCTAAGCACTCTCCCATCTATTTTTCCAGCTCAAATCATCTATGTGAATTCCTGCTCTGCCCTTGTGTAGTCAATCCCTCTCAAATGTGTTCAATTCCTTTGCAATCCTGAATTATCAGCACAAAAATTTGAATTTAATGGCAAAAAATCAGGAATAAGATCATATCCAAATTTAATTTAAATTGCCTAATACAACGATTTTTGCTTATATTATTTACTCTGATCTGATCTTCACTTCCGGTCGATCACCAATTCTTGAAGGTTAATCGATTTATCCCCCCAAAAAAATTTGATGCTCTTCACATCGATTTAAGGTTCAATATCATACTCTATCTTCTTCCCATGTACGACATATGTTTATTCCTTATTTATGAATTCAAATAAATTATTTGAACAAGACATGTGTTGTAAAGTCTGAAATTATGCATGTTTGTTGCTGTTTGTGTGTATCTGTGTGTGCGTCCGATTGATTAGTTCATAGTGACATACTTTTTTATAATGGTTAATTAAAAAAACAAAATTTAAATGTGATGTTCTAATAAAATGACATATCATTTGAATGGGATCGACCATGCTTTGTTTTACTTTAGGGGGAGGTAGTGAGTTACAGGAGGGGATGGAGTAAATAATGTTGAAGGGGTTTGTTGTCTTTTGTAGATAACAGTGGGTGGAGGCGGGGTGCTTTGATTGTAGATTGGTATGTTTAAAAGTAAATGATACGGGGGCTATGATGGGTGAGGTCGAACTTCATTCTCTTCATCTCTTAGTCGTATTTGTTTGAAATGCACTTTGGTGAGGCAATCACTCTGTTTTTTTCTTTTCTTTTAGATTTTTAAGGAACATTGGTTATTTGAATGACTATTGTAATAACCAATGTTGGCCCAAATTCATTAATATTATTCGAATCACTGATTTGTACGGAGTTTACATAGAAAAATAAGTGTTTATCATTTAGATTAAGAGGTAAGATAGTTGATATGGAGCACATATTATGTTGCCTCTTGAATGGATATTGACTTTTTTAGTAACTATAGCCAAATTGTGCTATAACATTAAAACCAAGAATAATATGTTGCTACTTTTCTAATGAAATGAAATGAGTGGTGATGGCTACAAACCGTAGGACATGGACTTTTTCTTTAGTTTTTTTTTTAAATTTTCTGCAAATATGTAATGACATAGGCTATTTGTGTAGTTTTACTAATAAAGGACTATTCACTGTAGTTTTACATAATTACGAACCATTACTGATTTTGTTTTAGTTAAGACAATTTTTAAAGTATATTACACATGAATCATTTCTGTAATTTGTTTATTACAGAGGGATCTATTATGTATTTCTTTCATTACAGGGGTCCATTTTTGTAACGAAATCTCAGTTTTTGTGGTTATTAACTATCTTTGAGTAGAAGTTTAAAGTTGGTTTGGAAGATTGAATTATCTTGCTGTCAAATTTAGTGGCAGTTGCTAGATTTAGTCCTTATAGCCCACAAATGAATACATTCTTCCATGAATGATTGCAAGCATCTTGGACTGAGATAATTAACAAATCAGGTCATAGTGTTGATTATTATTGTAGGTTACAAGGTATTGCTAACTTTTGTATGTAGGTAATTGTTGTATTTCTCTTTTATTTATTGGAATAACTTTTCTCCTCTCCCATCTTGCTAGAGGTTATTTTAATATAGTTAGCTTCATTGGATTGGTCTAATGAAAATTGTAATGTTTCAAAGTTGTCACTTACAAAATTATCATCAATCATCAGTGCATGGTTGCTTAGTTGGATCAATTTTTTATTCCTATTTCATTATTCGGTTTAATTGATATAGATCTTTTTCAATTTTCTGAATTTAGCATGGTTGCTTATGTTTAACCATATGATATTTATGCTTTTCGTGTGTTAAATTTAAGCTTCATTGCAAAGTAACAAATTTTGAAATATAATCTACATGTTATTATATTTAAACAGTCACATTCTTGCACAGATTATAATGTGGTTTAAGATTAACCGATTATGTGTGTAACTATGTTTCAGTAAAGTATGTTATTTTAAATTTTTTACCATATGACAATGTTAAAAATAAGATATTTAAGCGGCATGGTATTGTATATTTCAATTAATGAGTTTGTACAAACTTTATGTCTCTATATATTTGAGAATATTTTTGATACTTGGTCGGTAATTAAATAATTATATCAAATCGTATATGAGTCTCCAAGCCATTCTCCCCGTTTATCCATTTGAAGAACAAAACATGTGAGAAGAGAACGAGGAAGATTTTAATGCCAAAGTGCATGTGTGAGTTTTTGATTAATGAATACATTATTTTATTATCAATATTATTTTAAATTGTCAACCGTGTATTACACGGGTTATAACCTAGTTTACTCTATGTTATGCGGAAAGGTTAGAGAGGGATACGAGAAAAGAAAAGAAGGCAGAAAGAAAGAAAATAAATAGAATCATGAGAGGGAAAGACCGAAGGAACAACGAACAGGAGAAAAAAAAATTATCAACGTCTCTGACGCATCTCCATTTTCGTCTCCATCTCCGTCGTTCATGAGATAACTAGTAAACATTTCGTATTTCTTTGTTTCTGTAGTACATAACTAGATATGTTCTAGAGAGATACAATTTTATTTGAAAATGTTTAAATATTGTAATTTATAAAATGTATTTAAGGTATTAAAGACAACAAACAATTATACACTTGTTTTTGAATATGACAACCCTTTTATTAAATGTACCATGTCCAGGTCCATAACTTTCAACTCAGTTAATGTCTCGATTCTACCTGATACGAACCTGTTTGGCAGACCTATGTTATTATATTTGATAGAATTTTTTTTATATCATTATTGTTAGATATTTCTGCTTCTACCTTTGTTTGGATGTTCATCGATATCCGAGGAAAGTTTTTAGTAAAATTAAAAATAGAAAAACATAATTTTGAATCCATAATTGATTTATGAACGGTTGAAAAACACTTTTACATTAAAAAGAAAAACAATGGTTTGCTTACATTTTTATTTTCAATGTGGATCATTATGACGTGTTCTTACATATAAAAGGTGGTCACAATAAATGTTTTTCTTAATAGCTTTGTTTAGAAATTTTTATAGTTAAACATTAAAGTTCATGGAAAAAGTTGTCAAATATATATTTATTGACAAAAATGGAATATAGTTAAATCACAAAAAAGGTATATCCTGCTCTTTATGATCTAGAGGCTCAAAAGAGATATTTGGTGAATGATAGAATAAATGTAACTAGAGGTACCAGTTGGTGTTGGAAGTCTAACCCATCAAATTGTGGATTATACAACTGTCTATCGAGCCTTGTTCAGAATGTTGGATCGGTTCAGCTGCATCCTGGATCGGATTTTACATATTGCTCTATTGCCCCTGATGGAATTTATAGTGTTCTTATCCTCACGCATTCAGTTGAACTCAAAAATGGCAATAATCCTTCTCATAATTTGATCAGCTGGTGTAAGTTAATTCCCATAAAGGTATTGGGCTTCGTGTGGAGAGCAGTGCAGGGTCGTATACCTTGTGCTATGGCACTTATTAGAAGAAACATTCCTATTGATTTCGTTTTCTGTGGTCTGTGTGTAAATCAGCAGGAAGATGCCGATCATATACTCATTAACTGTCCGTACGCGAGTATGGTTTGGAGAAAAATTCTCAGTTGGTGCGGGATTGATGATATGGCAGTTAACACAGTAAGTGAGTTCATTGACTTTACTTCTAAATGGGGAAACTGTGTAAAGCGAAGAAAAAGACTCACTGCAATTTGTTATGGAATGTTATGGGTTCTCTGGAAATCAAGGAACAACAGACTATTTCAAAGGTTTGTTTGTTTCCCTTCTCAAGCGGTCGAGAATACTAAGTCATTAGTTTATCTATGGCTCAAATGTAGGGGTAAAAAATGAATTTGTAGTTGGGAGAGTTGGAATGTATCCCCCTTTTCTATTTCTTGATATGTAATTGTCTGTAACTCCTTGTCCCTCGTCTAGTTTCTTACTAGCGGGTATATTTATAAAAATTCTTGGCCGTTTCCAAAAAAAAGTTAAATCACAAAAATAACCAAAATATAATAAATTTATATATTTTACCCTTATTAATATAGACCTTTTGTCAAATTTAGACAACTTTCAAATATTCTTTATTTGCTCTATCTTTGGTATGGTCTCCTGAATAAACTTCAGCTTAGCTATATTTTCATACATTATGGCAGTTGTTATTAACTTAGCATAGGTGAATTCTAGTAAGTAGTAGCAACTATAGATATTCGTCCTAACTTTCTTCAACATCATTTATTACTGTGCTAAACCAAAAATAGTTCTTTTTTTTAACACAAGAAATTTCATTCTTAATTAAAAAATAATTTTAAAATTTTAAAAATCTTATAAAAATACATTAAATCAAATAAATATTGTCTAACCTAAATAGCAATCATTTGTAAATTAAAAAATGTTTAATTTTTGGCAAAAGATTGTTTAGATGATGATCAGTACTCAAGCAAAAGTCGAAGTAGGCCAGTATTCCGGCTCGACCGTTGTCTACCACCGTAAAGTATTTACACAACTCTACCATTCATCATCCTACACGTGTCTAATCAACTTCATCTGACGGCCCTAAATCATCTCGCACTCCAGCTAATAGTGGATCACCCCTTACCCTATCATAACAAAATTTAAAACTACGCCCCCATAATCTTTCTAGCCGTTAAGAAGATAAAACAAGCAAACAGTCTTCAGCCTTCACTTCCAACACCATCTAAATCCCCATTTTTATCTCATTCATTGATCCTTTAAGGAATAAATCTTCTTGGTGGATACAGTTTCAGTAAGGTGAAGAAGAAGAAAATGAAGGGTGTAAAGGGGAAGCTCTTGAAGAAGTTGAAGACGATCAAAACAATCGGGTACCTGAAACCTGATCGAATTCTTCATGTTAATGCAGCCGATGGGCTTATCGATAATTTCTTTCCGAAACCGAACAGTAAATGTGAATCCCTTTCGGTTCCTGAAGAAGGACAGCAGATCGAAAAAAAGAGCAGTGTTTCAGTCCAAGAACATGAAATTATTGATGTATCGGAGCTCATGAAGGATCTTCAAGATGATGATGGATCCGATACGGATAGTGTTGTTGAGGACAAAGAGAATGTTCGACCCGTTGGTGCCCTGGTTACTGATCATAAACTGGTCCATGCGAATTCCAAGATTCTTGCTGCTAAACCTTTGTTGGAGATTGACATCTCGTCGTTCCGGCCACCGGATTTAGATTCCGGCACACTTTTCGACCCGAATCTTTTAGCTGCTTTTGAGCAGGCGGTTTTGGAGTTTAAAGCACAAGAAGCAGAGAGGAGAAATAGAGTTTTACAGAACATCGAAGACTATTTAGATCAAGAACCAGAGACAGAGCCGCCATTGAAGTCGCTAAAATTAGATGAAATCGCAAATCCCCTTTCGGATTTCGAGAAAATCTGTCCGCCTGGAGGAAAAAATTCGGTGATTCTGTACACAACAGGATTCAGAAGCATCAGAAAGACATTCGAAGATTGCTCCAGTATCCGATTTTTACTCGAAAGTTTTAGGGTTTTATACCAAGAACGAGATCTATCCATGCACTTGGATTTCAGAGATGAACTATGGCGGATTCTGGGCCGAAAAGTAGCACCGCCGAGGCTGTTTATAAACGGTAGGTACATCGGAGGAGCAGAGGAAGTTTTACGGTTGCACGAGCAAGGGAAGTTCCGGCCACTACTAGCTGAAATACCGCTAAAGACGTCGGAAGGGCCATGCGAAGGGTGTGCTGGAGTTCGGTTTGTGGTGTGTTGTAATTGCAGCGGTAGCCGGAAGGTGGATTCCGGTGAACAAGGATTGCCGGAAAAGTGTCCTGAATGTAACGAGAATGGGCTTATCAGATGCCCTGTTTGCTGCTGAAATGGTTCCTATGTTGCGTGTGTTGTCATTATCAGTTCATGACAAAATGTTTGAATATTGTATGCTTTTTTCTTTGTAACTTCTAAATTCTATTCATTATTTTTGTTTCTTTCATTGTTTTATACAATAATTTATTTTGCTTTTCTATTCAAAATTCATTTGAATTGTTTGCTTTTAAAGTTATGTGTAATCGGTGCATCATATCCATAGGGCAAGAGTTTTTAAAGGTTTTACAACCCAATATATGTAATTATGTGTATATCCTCATGCTTTTTATTCCCATATATTCTCCATTTTTAATGACAAGTATAATAAAATTTTATTAATCTTATTAAATATGACAAGTATATATCATAGGAAGATATTTGATTTCTTATATAATACTGTTATATTCTTTTTCAATCATTTTTCAACATGTTAAACATAAAATACTGCACGTTCTTGTTGTACTTTGTAGAGATTTATACGTATTAAACATTTACATGTTGTACTTTGTAGAGATTTATACGTATTAAACATTTACATTTATAACTTCCATCCAAGACGTGAACAACCGCAAAAGTCTCACAACCATGTTACAGACTTTGACTCGTACAAAAACGCCTACCAAAATAAACACAAGAACGAGAATTTTACTTTTCAACCCGTTCCTTTAAAAACACATACAATATCTTTAGACCAAAAGTGTTAACCTACAAAAACAATTAACAAAAAGTTAATCTTTGTAATCTCATATTGTAATCGCCATTGTCTCTGTCTTTGCTTCAACCAAACACTCAGTGTGATGAAACTCGATTTGCAGCCTATGATGTACAAGAGGTGTTGATGATGCCATCAACCCCTTCTTGAGATCCGCCTGCAATTCCCTTATGGGAATTGCAGCCAAAAAGCTCTTTATATACTCCTTACACGACGCTTTCCCCTTGCACACAAACTCTTTTTCGCTCTTCTCCACACTTGAAGTGTCTTCACTAATTTTACTTTCACATTCATCGACCTTTTCTCCTTCCGTCTTCTCATTTGACTTTTGAGCATCAACTTGTACTACTACTCTCTCAATCACCGTATCTTTATCAAATTTCAACACATACGCCTGATCACACCCCTCATAAAGCCTCTCCCCCAACGTGTCAATAACATAATACGCATCATGTTCAACTTTCAACACAAAAAAGTGGTCATTCCAGCTCACGATATACACCAACGGGTTCATGTTCATGTTCATGCCATCAATGTTACTAATTTCATCCCATATCCCATCAAACGACATAGCCCCATCAAGAAAGTGAAGATCACCTTCACCCTCTTCAAGTTGAAAAAACCCAATAAACGACTTCTCCGGGTTTACAGAAAGATTCCGGATCTTAGCTTGGAGAACAGTGTCAAGGTCAAAATGTTTATCCGGAAACCGGGCCCGATAAACTTCATTTTCGCAAAGATTCCTCCACTCTAACGACCCGTCTCGAATCAAACTATCCAATTGGGATTTAATCGGCATTTCATTCGGGTTATTTTGGAACCAATCGGCTATAACCGCGACTAAAGCCGTACACGCGCTTTCACCCGCTGCTCTTTCGCTTCGTTGATCAATCGAAGCGAAGAAAACTTGCGTCTCAAGTTTCATGTGTCCGTCTCGGGACACGACCTCTTTCTTCTCCCATTTCCCGACTGCAAAATTATCGTCTCCAAATTCAGAGATTGAGGAACGGTCTTCGTTTGACCTTTTGACTCCATAACTTGACTCGTCTGAAGAACTCAACATCCGGCGATCAAAGTCGATGTCATCACCACCTTCTTCGCCGGAATCTTTCTTCAAAAGTGGCTCCCCTTTGATTTTCGGTGACCGGAAACTCAACTTTCGTTTCCTCCATGGGAAGATGATGCTTCGTTTTGGGGAGGTTTCTTTTTCTAAAGGGTCGATGATGGATTCAGTTGGATACTCGGATTTTTCTTTGTAGTTTCGGTAGTATATCCGGTCTTCATCTTCACTAGAGCTTGAGTTGAAGTAAGATAAGCCTCCTCCAGCGTGATTTGCATAGGCTAGGGTTCCGTAACTGAAAGACTTACGAGCAGTGGATTCGGCATCTTTGACTTCTTCAGAGTCAACTTCATCTCCTTCAAGTGAATCGGTGTCAAACGGGTAGTCTGCATCGTAACTTGTACCTGAGCTTTTTCCATCGCTACTACCCTCTTCTTCATGACATGGTTTTTTAGCCCGATTAGCTGATGATATTGCCCTGAAGATTTTAACTTTCTTAAGGCCCGCTTTCAGGCCCGTGGGCTCGTCTTTCTCTTTTTCTGTAGTTGAGAGTTCTCCATTTTGAGGTGTCAATGGAAGAGGTATAATGGATCTTTGTGCTTGTTCTGTATTCTCGTGTGCAATCCTCAGCTCCTGTAGGCTCAGAGATACCTGAAAATTCAATCAACAAAGATTAAATACACAACCAATGATCAACTTTGAATATATGCAATTTTATCTATTATTTGTATAATCATATTCTATATGTAAAAATTTGTTAGCTGTGAGATTATATTATAAATTAAATTGATATTCTTTTATGTCATAAACTTTTATGTTTCAAACTTATTTATAAATTTAGTACTTTGGTCGTATGCAAATTTAAAATATGGTTGTTTTAATAATACAATAATTGTTACATGCGAATAATTTATTGTTGCTATAACAATAAGTTATAGAAAGGAATATACCTAACATATTCTTTTTGATATTAAAAATGGTTAATAGGTGAGAGAGGAACGGTGTAATGTAATGGGTTTTACAAAATTTCCCTGATTTATTTAAAACATGATTAATCTAGATTCTAGAATACACTTTATACAGACAAAAGTTAATGGGAAAAAGAAAGAAACGGGCCCTTACATGAAGTATAGGTCCAGCCTCTGTTATGCCACTACCCATGGAAAGTGGAATGCTTATATCGATCTCATTTTGCTCAGCAGAAGAAGAAAACTCCACAAGATCTAACAATCCAGTTGCAATTGAAGAGTACCCCTTTTTTGGTTCTTGATTTAAGTCCTGATGACAAGAGGAGAAATAAGCTAATTAGCTAATAGAATAAATCAAAGTCAAACTATGATCTACTTGCTTGCTGTTAAAAAAAAAGTCAAACTAAGATCAATATGCATACGCAATAAAGATATCATCATATCAGTGTATTAATTTGCTGATCGTTTAAAGAAACTTAAAGTTTATATACGGTTGAAGACAAGAGGAAGCTTCTTTCTGTAGAGAAATATGGTAAAGTTATTTGGGGCAGGTTGCTTACTTAGTCAACTTTGGTAGGAAAAGTAAAAAGATATTAAGAAATAGAATTATAATTCCTTCTTGATTTAATTTAAAGATAAGTTCTTCGTCATCCTTGTTCATGTGACACTGTAGGAAGGGCACGTTAAAAGATGGATATGAATAATTAAATGCCAACCATAGCCTACAATTGGTAAAATACTAAAAAGGCTACCCTCTTTTATTGACACATGTTCAATATCAGAATGCTCAAAGTATAACTTTTTTCTTCTTTAACCAAAACGAACCACTAAGAGGAATACGCGTATCAGTCTCTATCCTGATTAATGGAGATGATCAAGTGATCATATAATACCGGTAATATCAGATAGTTAAACTCGAGGTCTTTATTATCTTCTATATTTTAATATTTGTTAATATTTATGATTATTTTTTCCTGTAAATCGAGGCCCTTTTGGGGGAAAAACATGGGACATATGCTGATATATGCAGTTATTATTGATCCAGCATATGGTTTTTAGCTAAAGAAACTGATCTGTTAATCAGATATAATTATTAGTTGAATGTGTAGGAAACTTAATAAGGAGAAAAAAAAAATTGGAAATTATATTTATTGAAATTGACATCTATGAAAAACCATCCCAATAAAGTCAAAACAGATCTTCAAATTCACTGCTACATGAATAGTCCCAGAGGAAAACCACTCTGATGTTCATATAAAGGCAAAACTAAACAAAAGTTAAATGAAGAATTTATGAATTTATCCAAGATTCTTCCTAAAAAAGATAAGTTGATCGGTTTCCGATTAGGCTTGATTGATGAAAATCTCAATTCAATTAAAACTTGTAAATTTAGGTCAGGATAGAAAAAGTTAGGATAAATTCTTGGAATAGAACAAAAACGCAAGAGAATTATCATTAGAAAGAATAATATAATAAATTAAAACCAGACAAAATATATGATTATGTTAATTGGATGAGGACTTACATCGAACACCGTGAATGCAACTTCCCACTGATGAAAACCCCCATCTTTCAAACCCAAGAAATTGCAAACAGTTGCAAATTCTTCGTTCCATTCGATAACTCCATCATCCTTCAAAGACCCTTTCTTTGTAACATTCCTCCTCACACTTCTTCGCTTAAAACTAAGCGGATTGTTGGACTTATTTGACCCTTTCCACTTTACTTCAACAGCCAATCTTGAAAGATCTTGAGAACCATCGTCGGTGGTTGCAGTATTCTCAGGCAAACCTTGGAGATGACGGATGATAATCTTGGTTTCAAATTTCTTGGATGAAAGCGGTGGCCATGGCCTCCATTTCATCATGCCCACTACCATCTTTTTCAATTTTGATCGTTGGCTCCGTCCGTTTGAGACTAAAATTGGGAATTAGGTGAAGGAGATGAGAAGAAATTTTTGAAAAGCAGTTGGAATTGAATAGGAGAGAGAGAAGAGTATGTCGTGTTTATAGAGGGAGGAGAGATTCTTTATAGGTATATGCTGCTCTTTTGTGTGTGTGTGTATGTGTGTTGTGGGGTGGGGTGGGGGGAAGAGGGAGGAGGGAGGGAGGGGGCCGGCAGCACCGAATAGTCGCACACAACATAATCTTAAACAATGACATCTTGAGTTGAGAATTTCCACATCAGTCGCTTCATCTACTTGTACGCTATGCTTTCATGCTTGTTAGTTGGGGATCTTTTTTCATGCCCATCTCCTTACATTACGTGCTTTG